GATAATCAATAATTAATCCCACTTTGTATTTTGCTCATACCTGCCTTCCAAGCACACCAAATGCTTTGCATATATTATCTTGTCAACACTCCCAGTAGTAGAACCGCTTTATAGTTCAATTCCGTATACCTATCACTTTGTAAAACTGTGTGCAGACAGCCTCACCCTTTCTCATGTCAGAGTAGTGACACGGCGTCTCATGATAGTGCCAGTGATCTCAAGGACGCAGCACCAACACCGGGGGTCACACACCTCAGTATTACTTAGATGTACATGGGCACACAGTCCAATTTTCTTTTTATAAATTATGGACTGATAACCCAGTCAGTAGGGCACTAGTGGGGGAGAAAATGAAAAGAATGAAGAAATTTTATTCCTTTTGGCCAGTTGCAGAAAACAAACCCCAAAGGGAAGTTAAGGGGCACCAGGAGCATCTGAATGCTAAGTTCTAATGAAGGCGACCACATATGGTACCGTGTGCTTTACTTTTGTTATCTCACTTAACCTCTGCATCTCGCAGTCCAAAAGGGTTGTACTTACCTGTGGGCAAGCACTCGTGTTATCTCCATTTCCTTACAGGCGAAGGAACTGGAACTCAGGTCGGCTCAGTGACTTGACTTAGGCCAGATAGCCTAAAATGAGCAGGAGTTCAGTCACAAATCTGTTTCTTGAAAGCTCTGATTCTAACATCTATGTTCTCCCCCTTCTCAGCTTTATAGATTCAAGGAAAGCTGTAAATATAGAGGTTGGATGCCTGGGAAGGCTGGGGCAAGACCAGGAAGACAGAAATTGGGAAGCACTCCGGTTTAAGGTGAAGTCATGTATAGTCTAACAGTAAGAATGGTTGAAATGATGGAAACCTTTCTCAAGCTATCTTAAACCATAGGGGAACTTTTTGGCTCAGGGAATCAAACTATGGCACTAGTGGGAGAAGGGTTCTGTGGCCTTCATCTAGAGAAGGGAAGGCCCCAACTCTCTATCTCTGTCTCCCCATACTTTATCTCTGCTTCTCTCTTTTCATTCATTAATACCAGTTCTCTCCATGAGGCTGCAACCATATCTAGAAGCTGACTCGGGAGTTTATCTTTACAGTTCCATGACTTGCGAGGAAAAAGGGCTGTTCCCATTAATTTGATTTAGGAAAACGCCAGGAAAATTTATGACTGGTTTTGCCTACACTATTTACCCCCCTATTAGAATTTTACCCCAACCAACCAGAGGGCAGGAATGGGAGAACTGCTTCCTTTCCTAGGAGAGGAAAAAGAGATGTTTGACTCACAATAACATATGCCTCCTACAAGCAGAAATCAGATCAGACATCAGAATAACAGACATAAGAAACTAACCACGGATGGTAATTACACCTTAAAATCAGGGTTTTTTTCCTTCCTAATAAAGCTTCTTCCTTCCAGAAGATGATCCATGCCAACCCAGGATCTACAACATCATAGACTCACAGAATCCTCCCATCTCCTATCTCTCCCCATTGCATAATATGATCTATCCACATTATTCTTCCTTTGGCCACTTTTTGTATGTACCAAGCTCTTTCCTTCTTAGAGTATACTAGCTGTTTCTCTGAAATGATTTCCCCCAGATGTTCAGGTCTCAGCTCAAATGCCACCTCCTGATATAGGACATCTCAAGCTACCTTTTTATTATAAGGCAATCCCTGGCGAGTTTTATCTTGTCATAAACATTACTGACCTTCTCATTCCTCTCTTTTCTCCTCTCCTCTCTTTTCTTTACTGTTTAGCTTCCCTAAAATATGAGTTCTCTGGGAGCACAGATTCTTTCTGTCATCCTGCCCATTGTAACGTTTGGCATACTGTGCAGGTTCTTAATACATATTTGTTGAATAATTGATGAATTTTAGACTTCAAAGAGACTACAGCATTTAACTTGGTGATTTGTACATAAGAGGGTCTTCAGACATGTTTCTGAATAAATGAAAAATAGGAGAATCCAGGAAACCTATATATTTTGTTCAAATTGTGGTGGGAATTTGCTGAATTTATATAGTATAACCAAGACTTCAGATCTTCACACCAAGGGTGAATAGCAAAGAACCACCTTTCCCTTCCACATTCTTATTAGGTGTCTAAGCTGTGTGAATGATACTTTGGCAATGACTGGCTTCTCACTTGGCTGTTCATTTATTGAGCAATGTCATATGGTACACACCAAGCCACCTGCTTTACATAGTTTAGCTCCAATTCTGAGCGTTAAAGTAGTAGGTAACTTGCCAAGAGCCCAAAGGTTTATAAAAGGCAGAAACAGAAGTGTTCCAAACATGTTCTAGCACATCAAGAAGATCTCAGATTGTGTATTTGGTCAGCTCTAATGGTTGATATCTGCCCACAAACCCATCTCATTTTGATCTATGCCTGGCATGTGGGTGAACAGATGAAACTCAGTTTGTGGTTGTCCCTGAGGTCTTTGTCTCTTAGGACAGTGGTTGAAAAGTATCCCCAGAAGCACATCATTATGTCCCTAGGACATGTTAGAGATGTGAACTCTGAGGCTTCATTCTTGATCCGCTAAATCAGAATCTCTGGGGATAGGTCTAGCAATCTGTTTTAACAAGTCCTCCAGGTGATTCTGATTCACACTCATGTTTGGGAATCATTGCTTTAAGGGTATCTTTTGAGAAGCCAGGTAATTTCATCCGAGGGTACCTAAGTATTGACGGAGAATTCTACAGCCCAGTACTGGGAATGAAAAATGGGGGACACGTGATGAACTGTCCTGGTTTGTCCGGTACCTCAGGGGTTCCCAGGATGTGGGATTTTTTCTTTTTTTTAATTTTATTTTTTATAAACATATATTTTTTTTTCCCCAGGGGTACAGGTCTGTGAATCTCCAGGTTTACACACTTCACAGCACTCACCATAGCACATACCCTACCCAATGTCCATAAGGATGTGGGATTTTTAGGTTTTGTTTTTTTTTTCAAAGATTTTATTTATTTATTTGACAGAGATCACAGGTAGGCAGAGAGGCAGGCAGAGAGAGAGGAAGGGAAGCAGGCTTCCTGTTGAGCAGGGAGCCCAATTCAGGGCTCAATCCCAGGACCCTGGGATCATGACCTGAGCCGAAGGCAGAGGCTTTAACCCACTGAGCCACCCAGGCGCCCCGGGATTTTTAGTTTTAAGACCTGGACAGTCTTGGGAAAACTCAGATGAGTTGGTTCCTGTATTAGTTTTTTTGTTTGTTTGTTTTTATTTGGTTTTTTTTGTTTTGTTTTGTTTTGTTTTTTTTGCTACCATAACAAATTACCACAAACTTATAGCTTAAAACAACACATTTATTATCTTTTTGGTTCCATTGATCAGAACTCCAATGCGGGTCTCCCTGGGCTGAAATCAGATTGTAGCAGGACTGTGTTTCTTTCTGGAGGTGTGACAAGAATCCATTTCATTGCTTTTTCCAGTTTCAGAGGGACCCTTCCTCTGTCTTCAAAGGCAACAATGTTGCATTTTCTGGGACCATTCTTTGCAGCTACATGGGTCTCTGGCTATAGCCAGAAAAAGTTCTCTGGTGTTAAGAACCCATGTGATTGGGTAGGGCCTCCCTCAAGATCCTTATATTTGCCAAGTCCCTTTCATGTCAACGAACATACTCACAGCTTCCAGGGAATAAGATGCAGGCATCTTTGGGAAGCCATTATTCTGCCTCCCACAGTTAACCATAACTGGAAGCCAAATTTTCAGAAGTAAATACAGAATTTTTAGTAAGAAAACCAGTAAAGTCCTAGGCAGAGCCAGTACAAGTTGATCCCTTCACTGGAGTGAGAGAGGGCAGAGAAGGGCCATCTCCCTGTGGTGGCAGCCACATCACGACGTGGAGAAGGAGACTCTGAGGTAGGCAGAAGTCAAAAGCAGGCAGATCTGTTTTTTTGAGTCACCTGTTCTGTGATTTTTGTGGAACCCGATTCCAACTTTCTCTTTTTCATGCTTGTGACATGATCTTCCATCTGTAGACATTTGTGTGTGTGTCAAGTATAACAACACTAATTTATTATTAGTCACTAACCATGGGTAATTCATTGTTGCTTATAAAATGCTACATTAACCACTGCTACCATTTAGTTATCAAGTTTTGATGGTAGCGAAAACAAATCACAACTTTAATTGTCTGAATCTGCCTCTGTGTGTGACCAGCATGTGATCAGGGCCTTGCTGAGTCCTATGGAGAACCGGTAAAAGATGTTCACAGGGATGCGGGCTGTCATGGTAGCTCTTGCAGGGAAGTAATGTTCCATGAGTATTTTATTGTGTATGGTATATAGGAAGGATTTATTTGTTCTGTGTAAATATCTGCCTGTCTCTGGTTCTGCCATCTCTTTAGATGAAATGCCACCATACAAAATGTCTTTGAGAATAGCTAGAAATGGATGCGTGGATAGAGCGTTGGTTATGCCGCTGAAGTTTTGTGACTTTAATATAAACATGGGTATATGAAACCAACCAGTGTCTCTCTTCTTCATGGTGACCAGAAGGCTGGGAATGGAATGGAGTGAGGGGTTGGCCCCTGTGAAGTCATAGGTATGGTTTTACTTTACATTATGATATAGATGCTTCTCTGTAAAGGGGAGAGCACAGTCCTGGAGTGAAGATAGACATACAAGTACTCAGATCCCAAGTCCATCCCTTATTATCTGTGTGACCTAAGGGACATTTCTTGTCTTTGTGAGCTTTGTTTTTCTCAGTTTTAAAAAAAGGATAATGAGACCTTACATTTGTTGTGAAGATTAAATAATAGTATTATACATTAGGTGTCTGGTACAGAGTTGGCACAAGTAAATGGCAATTATTAACATCATTGGTTCACTTCTCGAAGATACCTCCAATAATAGTTGAGGGTTTATAAAGGTATTTTTAGTACAGAAGTAGCTATTTTCACTCCTTGAATGCCATTCATTCAATGTGCTTTCTATTCTGTGTCAGGCTGAAATGGATGGTATAAAAATTAATAAATGAAGAATCTGTATCTTCCAGCAACCACAGTCTTCCTGGAGAGATGATGCTTGCTTGAACTGGAGGAATTGATGAATGACATTTGGAGGAGAAGAGAGCATAGTACCCTTCTAGAACAGCATGAACTGAACCAAAGCACAGAGGTAAGATGCAACCCTGATCTGTGTTGGGAATGACATGTAGTTTGGTATTGCTGCAATGTAAGTATATCAAGAAAGAAGTTGTCAGAGCTGTGGCTGAAGATACAGCTGAAGCATGAAAGAACTCCATGATGGTGGGGAACTGGGACATTATCTGTGCATGGTGGGAATCAATTGATGGTTTTAAGTGGGGAATGATGTGATCTAGTTAAGGCTCTCAAAATATCACTCCAGCCAGTCTGGAGTGGGATTGGGGGAGAAGGGATTGGGGGAGAGGAAACGTAAAAGAGAAATTGGGGAGATCGGTGAAGAGGCTCTAATAGTTATGGTATCTGCATTAAACAGAAACCAACTAAGGTACCTCATGTGACTTCAACTAAAGAACTAAAAGAGTGAGTGTGAGCAGAGTTAAGGGAGGCGCCAAGCCTGAGAAAGTACACCAGAGCTAGCAACAGTGGCGAACGTTACCAACTCCTGGCATGAAGGATCAAGGGACGGGAATAGTAAGAGCTGGAGCCATGGAGAAAGAGCACTGTGATAGGAGTTGTAGGAGTTGGGTTCCCAAGAAGCTGACTCCAGAGGAGGATTCATGCACAAGTGATTTATGCAGGAAATGCTTCCAGGAGGAACTAGTAAGGAGCAGGGGAAGAAGCCATGCATAGGTACTATTTCATCAGTATCTGGTGGGAAGACATTATTTCTTTCCATGAGTTAGGAGTCAGAAGGTTTGGTGCCACTCTTCTGCCACTAAGTGACTCAAAGTCCCTGGCTTTTAGTTTGATCTTCTATAAAATGGGGAAATTGCATCCTTACATAGCCATCACGGAAATGAAATAAGGAAGTATGAGGGTTTTGTAAGGGGGTATGCCAATGTAGGGTGCAATGACATAGAGAAGTCATAGATGTTTTAGCCTGAGTGATCTAGGTAATGTGAGTTTAGACCTACGGCCACACATGGAGGCAGTCTTAGGTCTTCTGGGCCTCATGTTTATGCTCTAGGCCTGATGTAAACAGTCTTTGAATTAGTTTCTGGACACTAATCTATTTTTTTAATGACTAATAGAAAAGATCCTGCCAAATGAATTTTTAATTTTTTATAATGGTGGTTAATTTTGGAGATTTCTGTCTTTTAAAGTGGACATAACACCTGAATGATGGATATAAGTACAAATGACTGTGATTATTGTATTTTTAAAAGGCAATTTATCTGATGTGGATTCATTATCACCATATGGGCTCTGTTGACCAACAATACTGTTATCTCGCTATTGGAAGTCTGATGGTATATCTCAAATGAATAGAATTGCTGCCCTCTAAAATGATTTTAAAATCTAATTATTGTCATTATCACTATTTTACATTTCCCTAAACTTTTCTATAAACATCTGGGTTATAGAATAGTTTTTCACTAATGATAACATCTAAAACACTGTGAAATAGTTTGGCAAAACTTTTTGCTGTAGAAGACCCTCTCATTATCTGGATGTTGAGGAGACAGGCAGCATAGCAAGGAAGGTGTCCTGTTGGGGTATCTGATTCCATTGTGATCTACGCACGAGTTACTTCCTGCGATGACAGCAGGAAATACTGGTAACCTTGGCAACACTGGTGGCCCTTCCCATCCTTTTAAAATTGAAATAGCTGTTGCTAGGAAACATCCTAAAGCAAAAAGAGGGGAAAAGAAGGGAGCAAGAGAATGAGAGAAATGCGAATGGGAGGGGGAGAGGGGATGAAAGAGAAGGAAAGAAAATAAAGAGAATGAAAAAGGAGGATAAAAGAAAAATAATGAGTGGTGTTTGAAGGGTTGGCTTCTGGAGATGAAAGAGGCTATTGAATTATTGCCAAAATTAGAGAACATGGAGTGAGGGTAAAAGTAGAATATTAGTTCCTGACTTACTGAAAATCAATAATTCATACTCCATTTTGACTTTGACTTTTCTCAAGCAAGCTACTTATCCTTGATATGGGTGTTTTCCTCCTGCCTCAGAAGGGAAATGTTTGTCAGCTCTCTTGCCTTTAGTCAAACCTCTATCCGCATTCTTTCCTCTGATACCTCACTTGTCCACTAGCCTGAAAATGACATATCTGCAGAGAAGAGCATTCTGTTAAAATGCAGTGAATGCTCCCCTGTCAAGAGGGCACAGCCGAAGTTTCTCCAGTGTCCAGAGGAAGCCATAACCCCCCAATCCATATGTCTGCCCTCTCGATCTCCTTACTCTCCAAGCACTGCTTGGAGAGTGGGGGAAAACAAAGAGTTGCAGCAGCTGACAACCTCTGAATTCAGGGGAAAGGTCATGCTTACTCTGGGTGATTGTAGCTTTTTGTAGCAGGGGAGTCATATCATGCCAGACTTACAGATGAGGAGGACTGCACAGTCCCTTCCTCTCCCCTGTGGTATGGAAAAGATTCCCTGGGCACATTCCCTCATTTCCAGAAAATGAGTAGGTTACCCAAGTTAGAGCCATAGAGTCCGTGGTTTTGAAATTGTGGGCCTCTTGCCACAGCTGAAAGGATTGCGTACACTTTGTTCACCATTGGAACATGGTAGGTGCTCAGTAAGTGACAATGAATGAATGGAAAGCAATCACTTGCCACAGTCTTCTCACAGTTCCCAATCTTAGTTTGTGGGGGTGCCCATCTTCTTTGGGGTCAAAGCTGAGAAAACAGAGTGAGATTTTTTTCCCTAGAATTCCTAGCAGTGAACTTTTACTGTATTCCCACTGGACATGAATGAGAAAGGAGATAGTGCCTAGTTCTGCCACAGCCATTTGTAAACATGGTAGCCCAAGACAAGAGCCAATCCTAAGGAAGCAGAGCCAAGAAGGGAGGATCCTGACTTTCTGCCCAGAGGACTGTTTCTGGTATCTCCCAAAGCTGCACACTCTTCAAATGTCCCAGAGATCAGTATTCTCCACACTGCACTGGGAGCCACAGAGGAACAGAGATGTTGAGATGCCCTTTTCCCAATGCAGTGGCCCACTCTGCCAGGTGGGCACTAAATTAACATTGCTTATGGGTTTTTTTGGTTGTTGTTTTTTTTTGTTTGTTTGTTTTTTGTTTTTTTGTTTTGTTTTGTTTTGTTTTGTTGCTTTACCAAATTCCTAAAAACAAAAAACAAAACAAAACAAAGCTAAGCAAAACAACAAACCAAACTGGCAACTCCCTTCCACAGGAGTAACTCCCTTGGTCCCTAGAGCTTCAGATTTGACTGAGAAACCGTCTTCCCTCTTTCATCTCATTACTCTCACTCCAGAGTTTCTCCTGAATTCTTTGGATTTTTCTCACAAACTTTCTTTTTAACGATATCTTCCACTAATGCAAATCATTAAAATGGACACCAAGAAGCTTCCCACCCAGTAATTTGATAGTCCTTCAGATTACTTGAGTTTTAGGTAGGCCTCAACCAGGACCCAGTGCCATACATAAAATAAAAGACATTCTAAACGGCTCATTCATTGCCAACATTCTATGGCTTTTAATGCAATGCATGATTTGTATGATCATTCTAAAATTTAAAACTCAATATTTTTTATGTCCCTATTGCCTGCCATTCATGAACCTGAACACTGGTTACTGCTCTCATGGAATTTACAGTCTAGTGGGCATGGGGGATAGATAGGCCATGAACAAATGAACGAGATTTTAGGTCATGATATGTGCCACACAGAAGACAAAACAAGGTGATGTGACAGTGTATCTGGGTAGTACCTAGGGTAGCCAAAAGGGCTCTTAGAGGAAGTGACAAGTGAACCAAGATTCAAATGATGAGAAATAGTTGATCACATGAAGAGACAGGGAAAGGTTGTTTTAGACAGAGGAAGCCATGGTTGAAAATCCTGCAGTGGAAATGAGCTTACAGGGTTTTTGTTTTTTTTCTTAAGATTTATTTATTGGGGTGTCTGGGTGGCTCAGTCATTAACTGTCTGCCTTTGGCTCGGGTCATGATCCCAGGGTCCTGGGATGGAGCCCCGCATTGGGCTCCCTGCTCGGCGGGAAGCCTGCTTCTCCCTCTCCCACACCCCCTGCTTGTGTTCCTTCTCTCACTGTGTATCTCTCTGTTAAATAAATAAATAAATCTTTTTAAAAAAGATTTAAATCTTTTTTAAAAAGATTTATTTATTTATTAGAGAGAGAGAGAGATAAAGAGAGAGTACAAGCAAGAGGGGCAGGAAGAGGGAGAGAGAATCTCAAGCAGACTCTATGCGGAGCACAGAGTCCAACACAGGGCTTAATCTCTCATGACCCTGAGATCACAACTGAAACCAAAAGTCGGACACTTAACCGACTGTGTCACCCAGGTATACTGAGCTTGGAGTTTTAAAGAAAACTAGCAGAAAGATTAATGTGGAAAGATTAAGCAAGGGTCCTAGAAAGGATGAAAGGATGAAAGTCATGTAGGGTCTTGAAGACCCTGAGGAGGAGCTTGGAAGCCAGTGCAAAGCAAGGGAGCGTCTATGATTTTTAAAAGATCATCCTGTTGTTTTGTAGACAGTTGATATAGGGAGATAAGGATATAAGCAAAGTGGCAGACAGGAGCTAATGCAGCAATGTAGTCGAAAGGTGCTGGTAGCTTAGACTAAGGTAGACAGTGCAGTTAGAGAGATTGGATCCAGACACTGACAAAAGGAGGCAGAATCAAGGATAGCAGCTAAGTTTGGGACTGTGCAAGTGGGTGAATGGGGGCCTGTAAACTGAGGGGAGATGTGGAATATAATATTTGGGGGGATTGAGAGTTTTGTTTGGATCTAATGCATGTATGTAGGAAGTTGAATACATTAGGTTGTAATGCAGAGAAGGGGTCAGAACTGGAGGTATAGACTGTGGCGTAATTGGGCCGTAGATGGTATTTTAATGATGCAGCTGGATGAGATCACCTGGGAGAGTGGAGATAGAGAAGTGCAGAGGGCCAAGGAACTCCCACATCTAGAGGAGGCCAAGCAAGCAGGGGAAGACATGCCCCCAAATAGGAATGTAATAATGAAAACCCATAAAGCCAGAGGAAA